ACTTGACCGTGCAGTGTATGTACCTTGTGCTTACGTACGATGAAATTATATGTCGCAGGAGCGCACGCATCAACCGCGCATTGGATTTCAAGTGTACGACTGGGACCGGTGGGCCAAGGACGACTTTGTGGGCGGTGCCACGATATCTCTCCAAGGTATGACTGTCCTTTTACCCAAATATAAACTTTTGGGGCAATTAGTGCATAGCAAGTGAGTGGCCGATTGAAGCTTGTATACAATTTACACTGTTTAGTATATCTATATATCTATATATATATCTATATATATATATATCAGGTTTTGCCGAAAATGAGCGACAGATTGAGGTGCATCAGTACTTTAGATGGCAAAAATTCAGAACGCGATTGGATTTGATTGGCTTTGGTGGTTCTTCCATTCTCTTGCTCCTGCCGCCCCAGTTGTTTCGAATGGTTTTGACGCTAAGATATGTGGTTACATTAGACGTTACTATAATCGCCTCGAGCGACTACACGGCAGGGTACGCAGTGCCGAAACCAACCTGGTACAACTTGTCCTATGAAGAAGGCAAGGGGGGCGAAGGCCAACTCCTCGTGTCGTGCACGCTCGTGGCCAAGGACTTTCCCGACCAAGTGATCGACCCGCCGACGTCGATCAAGCCGAAAATGCAAGAAAAGTTCCTCGAAATCATCTGTCTTGGCCTGCGCGACCTCAGCCCCATTGGGTTTATGCCGCTGCACATGCCGTTTTTGCAAGTACATACATGGCAACTCTATCACGAATCTATCGCAATATATATATATATATAGAACGTATAATGATGATTCTAGTTTGACATTGGCGAAGTGAGCTCGTCCAACCGACCAAAAAAGACGGGCGGGAGCTCCAAGCCCACGCCCGCCAACCCCAACTTCCTCGAGCGCATTCTGATTCCAATCCAGTTGCCAGAAGACGCCCAGTTTGCCCCTCGGTTGAACTTGAGTGTATTTGACACACTTCTTGGGGGGTTTCACAAGCCCCTCCTTGGCACGTGCTCCATCGACTTGACCACCAAGTTGCCGTTCTCGAACGGGGTTGAGAATCCCGTTTATGTCGCGCCAGGTACCCTTTTATGTCCCAACCAACCTCCAATGGCCACTATGGGATATGTCACAACACACCACACTCAATTCTTTTGCAGAGATCTTCAAAACACCTGACGTATACATCATAAATTGACATTGTCGATTTTTTACCTTTTTTTTTCAGAAAAAAAGTATCAATTTTGCAATGTTTAGGGCTAATCTGACCCATAAAATTATCTGTTTTGGAAAGTCTGCAATATTTCCCAAAGTCTCTTATCCCATGAAGAAAAGGAGAAAAGAAGTAGTATCTACGAAGTTGAAGAAAAGGAGAAAAGAAGTAGTATCTACAAAGTTGTCTGGATGATGCCAGCTGTATTTTGAAAAAAAAAATCGATTTCCGATTGTGAAGTGCAACGTGAACATAAAAAAGTTGGACGAAATCGGTCCATATTTTTATGCCATAAAACACCCGCTTTTTAAGAAAATTGTAGCATAAATTGTTGGACTTTGGTGGCATCCAGACCCACAAAATATC